TGTAATTTACTTGCGATGCAGCAGAGTTAGTGTTATATTCATTCTTTGCGTTTTTCTAATAGTTACACGATCATAAAAATTTTGAAAAATTTCTTTGATTTATTATTATTTCTATACCATCAAGATACTCGTCAATAGTTCAGTGTCAAGAGACATTTTGTTACATCACTAATACTCTTATTACATTAAGAATTTTTTGTCGGTGTATTTAGGAGTCAAGTTTTCTGAGAACTATTGAAATTCTTGTATTTTCATCTCAACATAAATAAGCATTGGAAGCGATGAAGATTCTATTATTAAAATAGAGCAAAAAGAAATAATGTAGCATTGAAAATATTAAAGTTAAACATTGTTAGAAGGAAAAAAACCAGTCTAATTATCATATAAGGTAAAATTAACAACATATTTTTATTCACCTTGTAAGCGAATAAAGTATGTTGACTAAATAGAATCAATTGAATTATAACGATCTGTTTGCTTTTTCTATTTATGTTAATACACATTTATATTTATCGTGGTTATGGAGAAATCTTTGTATTTCTCTCTGTACTCGCTGATTTTGCTTGACCTAGATGACTAAATAGGTTATGCATAAAATGTGAGAATATTTTATTTCACTCTTTGTTCTCTCCAATTGTGTAGTTTAATTTTACACGTATCACATTTATTGATATTTGCAATCAATTATTTGATGTGTTAGCTTTTCTTAGCAACGAGTCGTCAGACAGTTTTAGAACACACTCAAGATAAAATTTCTTTATCAAAGAAGTAAATGCGAATATAAATTTTATGAGAAAGACATCAAATTAAAAAAAATACATTTTTATGAGTTTTTTTTTGTCCGCTATCAGTTGACAGTGTCTGTCCTTCGACATGCCATGAATTGTCATCTCTTTAGAGTAAAGCAGTATATCGAGTACTCTACTTCTGAATAACTTTCATATTATCACATCGTTATTCTTAGAAAATATTTCGAATTTATAACAGGTTATGGTGATGACTCAACCTTACTATATATGCTAACTCGTATACTTTTTCGTTTTTACTTTTCTTTAGCTCTATTTTGTTCATCGATGTATTGTTTTTATTAACTTTCTCATTCGTTTGGGTGTACTGTTTATTGAATAATCTATTCTTTGTATGATAGTGTCATTTGTTTCCTACACACATAGTAACAACCGATGCTTTCCTTATAGTCTTCTTCATTTTTACTCATGTATAGGTTGAGATACTTTTTGCAACTTATTGATTTTTTTTATTTATTGTTGAGAGCAAAATAGAACTGTCATTTTTTAGTTTTCTGTTAACATCAGCACAGATGAGGAAGAAGCAAAAAGCTCAAGTTAGATATCATTGATAAGTTTTGGGTCGTGTTTGATTTTTTGGTATTTTTCAAATAAATACTAAATTATCATTCAAAATTTATTTTACTGATTGAGTGCGGTCTATTCTGAATAATAGTTCCCATGTTGAAAATATTTTTCTTTGAATATCTGCTCAACTTTTTGGATTCGAAAAATACAAAGAAACTCAAAATGGCCCAAAATGTATGAAAGAATCTGTATATATATATATTACTTGTACAGAACGCGCAGTAGTTAAGTCAGTTTCTTAAAGGTAGAATAATTTTTATTGTATATCCTAACATGTTACTAAACATTCAGTTTTTGAGTTGAGTGAACTATAATTTTAATGAAATCTTATAAGAATTCATGTAAACTATGGTTCAAGCAATCCAAATCTCAAGAATATAATCGGTCTCTGTATGAGTACGTTCAATACGAAACCAAACGCATAAAGGCATTCGTTAAAATTCCGACATGTTTTTAAATGTTTTTTTAATTGTTTGTCTGACTGAGTTTTCTCTATGATAGTTGCAGGAGTTATAGTAGGCAGATGATTCTATAATTTAATAATGCCAATTAATAAGAGACTCTTATCATAACGTACTCATAAACATATTGAAGTAGTTTAGAAATAACTATCTAAACCATGAAATAGCGTTGGACTTCTAACTGAGTTGTTATAAAATCAATTGAAATTAAATTTATGTTTACAATTTGAACTTATAAAATTCTATTCATAATAAACATGATAATATCAAACAAAAACAATTTGCTTTATCATTCGTAGAATTAAATTAATGCTCTAATTTCAAGTATGAAAAATATTATTCATGAAGAAAAATCACTTATTTGAACGACCTTCAGATAGAAGCATAAGAAGAACGTATTTAATCAGTATGAATTTAACTTACGATAGGTCTTATAGTGGCAGGATCATTTTCTGGAACAATTGTTAATTTTCTATTTAGATTAGACGAATGACTGAAAATAAACGAATAGATAGTTATGTCGAGTTCATTAAAAGAAAGAACGAGAATAAAGCATAAAATTTACTACTTACTGTTGACAATAAGGCAATTTATCAAAACTACGAGCATTACTCAGATTCAACTTTTTGTCGCATTGTGTACATTTAAAGCAAATTTTGTGATATATCTATGATAAATAGTACTTTAATTTATTGAAAACAACGCAAATATAATTCATTGAAATACTTTTTAAGATATTTACTTTAAATTATTGTTTCTCTTATTGACAATTTTAAATCAAACATTCGGAAAATATTGACTTTTCAACATTTTATAAATAATTGAAGATTGGATTTCTTTTTATTTGTTTTTATGCATAAAACTACTGTGTGTTTTTTTAAAGGGTCCATCTTCTCGCTTTTGCGAATATTAAAATCAATTCTTTTTCGATTTTTAATTTTTCATCTTTAATATAGCTTGGCAATGTTCTTGTTCAAGTGTCATAGGGACAACTTCTCTTCTTTGTTAGTCAGTATTTTTATTGAATCCAATTCTCGAAACTCCTAGCAGAAAAACTCGCGTCAGATTATTCTTTGTATAAAAAAATCTCCTCATAAAAATAATTATTTCTCATTCGAAAGATGTTGAGAACATGGGACATGACCCTCTAAGGTCATTGAATATGATCAGTTTTCCATCACTTCAATTGGATAAAAGTTCTAATAAACATAGGAAATTTTAATTTGAGTTTTTCTCAAAATCAATTTTTGAATAAAAAAGTTGAAATTTCTTCTCTTTCTCGCTTCTTACAAGGCACTTTCGATCTCACTCAAATTGGGGCACGTGCTTTTTTTTCTGAAAAATGTTATACCTACGAAACTCTGCTGTCTTGAAAAAATTAGTACCATTGAAAAAAAAAGTTTCTTGACGATGTTTGCAGTATTTTGCTTCTCATGATCTCTAGAATCGATAGTTTTTAAAAGAAAAAGAAGCAAGGACTCTGCTTTGATCTTAACTGTTATAAAAAAATTGAGTCTGGAAAAACTCAGATATAGAGTTTTGCGAGGGAAAGAAGATCAAACTTCTGGCTATTTTTGGCCTTTTTAACTGTCATATCTTCCTAGACGAAACATTTCGGACTTTGAAGTCTACGACAATTTTTCTCAAAGAAAGAAAATTTCCTTTGGTTAAGAATTCAGGTTTATTATATCTAATTATTCATAATGAATGTTTCTTCGAATTTGACTACTCTCAAAATCAATTACTCACTTTGCCTTGATATTGAAGTTCTTCAGCAGAATAAACTTGCCGTTGACATACAAAACACAAAGCCATTTTGATTTTTTTTTGTTGAATAGTTAATTTTTCTTTTTTACTTAAAGGTAGGATAAAGACTTGCACTAGACGCACACTATGACAAATGAGTATAAATCATTTTTCAATCGATATTTCCAACAATGCAAACAAAAATAACATCTAGTCAGTCAAGAGATCATTTTAACATATTTTAAAATGTAAAAATGTGCGTTTTTTATGCTGAAAAAGGATAAAAAAAAAAGATTTTTATGTTTTTAAAACGCAAGTTTGTGCCTTTCGTCACCTTAAGACTTGCTTTATTTTAAAAAAATCTTTTTTTTTGGAGAAGGTAAAAAACGCCTATTCTAATGCATGAAAATGCGTTTTTTATCGATGTTGTCTGACTAAGTAGAGTGAATGAATCATATTTACAACGAAGACCAAACAGAAACAAAACAAAACAGAACAGATCAATTCCTTTTTTCTTCATTCTACCATTTTCTTTCCTTTGCATAGAGATTGAAGAAAAAAAATGCGACACTGAAAAGTATTAATATCTGACTATTGCTTTTTTTTTCAAGATTATATTCAATGACGAAGTTTTTACATATTTCTTTTAAGGCAACGTGTGAATCTTTCGATGTTCCTTATCATTCGCAAACAACCATTCATGATCTAATCAAGTATGTTACTGTTCAAAGTAACGTACTGTCAAACACCAATCCGAATGATTATTATCTGGCAATTAATAAGAGCGATGTGTTAGATAACAATCAAACAGTGGTAGAAGCAGGCTTAGATCAATTGGATCGAAATATTTCTCTTGATATTTTCACCAAAACTCGAGTACTTATGAAACGTATTGTAGCAAGTTCTATGAAATTTTGGCAGGATCCAGTAAAGCGAATATCGACGAAGACCCAAAAAACAACATCAACACAAGAATCGATCAGTAATGGTAAGAATTGGAAAGCATCAGTTGATTTACGACTTGTGAATCTCTCAGAGTTTTTCGATTGATTCTTATTGAGATATTTTAAAACCTCTGAAGCTTTAGCGCCACATGATATGATTGTCAGTACTTTCAAAAATTAATCTTCCAGTGATAGCAAATCTTGGTTTCACGTTTCCAAAATTTTTATCTATACACTGATAGATTTATTGTTTATCTGAATTCACATTTCATTTCTTTCTACGAAATTTTTTCAAACGGCCAAACATTTTATGTAATCAACTTCGCACAATAAATAGTGATAGAAGTGTTTCTTATTTTTTTGAACAACGTCATTTCTGAATATGTTTCAGTTAAAAGAACAAAGTTGCATTCATTTAAGTATTTGGTTTATTTTCATTTGCAGCCAAAGCATCATTTTCTACTAATAAACATCAAATGCCAACTACTCCAAAAGTACTATCAAATGATGACGATATCAATAAAGAAGTTCATATGCTAATATGTGGTAGTCCTAAAGTAGGAAAATCGACCTTAATCAATGCTCTCTGTGGTTGTCCCGTAGCCAAAGTGAAAACCATTGGTCTCGATCAATGTACGCAAAAAACAACCTATTATCAATTGGATAACATTTACTTTTGGGATACGCCTGGTATTCAAGACTGGTCTAACATAGACATAGATTCATATCTCAATTCATCTAAACGATGTCAAACACCATTATGTATGTTCTATTGTGCTTCACCCGGTTCATTTACTAAACTGAAACCACTTGAAATCCTACTTGATGAATGTATTTATCAACGACATATTTTTTGTGTACTAATAGTGACAAACATGTTTGCTCATATTGATCGACATGCGATTCTCAACGAATTCAAAACTCTTTTAAGCAAATATGTTAATCACACTCAACAAATACGAGAAGAACACGGTATATATTATTATGGACAAGTTGGACTATGCACTATGGTTAATAGTCGAGAATTTGTTGATGAAGATACAAATCGACGACATTCACAGCACGGTATAAATGAGTTAGTTATGGCTTTAACAAAGTCGTTCAGTAGAACCCGTCAACTAGATGGTTGGTTACGAGCCATCGAGAACAATACACAATTTTGGTTGGAAAAACAAGAAGAAATTTTTAGACTCACTAAATATTCAGATGATATATGCTTGTCTGAAATCGTTCAGAACATCTGAACACAAAAATAACTGTTTGTCAGGTTTTTTGGTCACTTCATACTAGAAAGAAATAATCATGATACATATATATGCTGTTTATTTTTCTATCATATGATATAAAAATCTTCATAAGAAGAAATTTATAATTTATCTGATTTATCACAAAATTTATCTAATAATGAGCAGCTCGGTTCTAATAACTTCTATTAAATTGAAAAATCTATCAGACAAAAATCAAAGTGCTTTCATAAAACTTGAACATCATATGATTATCGAATAATTTGAACCTCTACGACAAATTCAGATATATGTAACTAGTTACTAATAAAGGATATAGACACTCACTAACCTCATTGACACCTATTAAATATCTTGTAAGTCTGTTTCCTTTGCATTATTTAGCTGTTTGAGTGTTTTTCACATATTTTTGAATTTTCTGATACCATCAAAGTATCATTAAATATCAACAAGTTTAAGTACTTATTCAGTTTGTACTATGGTTCATCTAATTATGTCATTCGATAATTTTGTGGGACGCTGTTGTGTCTTAGCATCTTTTATAATGCCTGTGAAAATAGAAACCAAGTAGAAAACCATTTGCTTAATAGAATATCACTGAAAACAAGATTTTTTTTTGTTTTGAATAATATACATATCATGTGTTTGAATCATCAAAATCGATCATAATACAATTTATTTTGAATAAGATAAAATAAAATACTTTTTATCATTGATACTATGTGTTGGTATGTTTCAGATTTGTAAAAGACTATTTAGTATTGATAATAAGTCAACATGCGCATTTAAAGAACCAATTTTAAAATGATATTTTTCGGTACTTAAAAATATTGATAAGACTGCATGATTACATTTTGCGTTTTTTCCTCGGTAAAGACTTATTCGAGCGCATCAGTATCATATATGTCACTGTGTTAAATATAACTGCTCATGGAAGTTTATTATTAATGATTTTATCAATAAAATTTATAGAACTGATTTTTGTAAGGGATAGTAACTCTAAAAGATGTTTTTATTGACATTTAAATCAGTTCAAAATCGTAAACAAGAAGTAGAGAACTTGAAAGACAACTGATATTTCATTTGTTTGTTTTATCTATGGTGTAGATAATATATATTTATACAAATGTGAAGGAAGAACTGCATTTCTACAAGTATAACTCCAATAAAAACTATTCTAGTATAGCATCTATTATCGCTTCTGGGTCTATTATTCTCTTTCCCCTCAATTTCATTATCAGTTTTTACTGTTGATGGAGTTAATCGATACTAATTAGAACAATACAAACGACTAAGTCTATGAATGAATTCATATGCTTTCCAGACATTCATTCAATATCAAACAACTTGTCATTACGCCACCGGGAACAAAACGATTCACTATATGATCGATCATGTTGTTTACCATAGTATCTGCTATATTTTCTCGGAGACGCATCTGTATTATGTTTTTTTCTCTTTATTCTAGAATTTGATGTAATATGTGTCTGCATCTCTGTTGAAGTTGGTTCTGCGATAAGATCCTTGTTTTACTTATCTTATTAGCGAGATAAAGATCGAAAGAGTACATGTATTAAATAATGTTAGTGCATGTGAATTGACATTGGAAATAAAAATCATTTTAAATAAATAGAAACAATTTGATGAAAAATAACTAAATACGTATCATAGCATGATTCGATTCATTTCCTTTTTTTTGTTTTCAACCACATCAAAAACTTGGACATAAATTCATCGAATACCTTCTTAGATTGGATTGTATATTAGATTTTTGATAAGAGTTTGGCATGAGATCAAAAATTGTTCGTGAATATTTTTTTTAGTTATTCTATTTCATCATTCTCGAAACTTTTTTTCTCATAGTTCTTCTTGACTTCCTTAGCTTCTTTCAATCCTTGAAAGAAAATAATCATATTAAGTTTCCTGCAAAGATATACCAAAAGAATCTTTTTTAAAGTATTGAATAACTGATCACAATCTTCAGAAATTTAGAGCAGTCCAGATAAAAGAATCTGACGTTAGGTCCTAAGACTATGCGTTTTTTATTTTACAAGATCAGAGATATGATCTTTTCAGATTGTTCTCTTTGGTCGTTTGCCCTGACTGTGAAAAAATAACATGCCCGAAAAACACTAATTCATTAAATAAATATTAAATGAACTAAACTATACAATTGCAGACAAGCTGATGACTCTATTGGCTATATCTGTGATTAAAATATTATTTGAAAAGACGAATCTGTCATTCGTAGTTAAGTTATTCATATTGAGATTATATTTAAATTTTATGAATTAGTTCATGGATATAAGAAAAAAGCGTTTTACTTAGTATTTGGACTTCTCTGTATGTTATACGTATCAATGACAGTATTAATCAAGCATTCCTAATCTAAACAAAGATGAATTTTAATAATAAAAGTTGTCCATAAAATGAACAATAAAAATGAAATATGCGATCGTATTAAAAAGAAAACTTTAACCGTCATATAAATGTGATTTTATTGAATAATTGATATTTATAATGATTTGATGATGGAATTCTTCCAGTAAAATGATGTTATATTTCACTCTCGTTGATTGTCTTATTAAATTTGTTTTTTTTTCTCAACATCAATTATTGTCTTAGAAAAAAAAGGAATATTTTCTGAGATTGACATAGCAACATTTTAGTAGACATATGAGACAGTCTTATATAAATCTTTTCAAGCATCTATCAAAAGTTTATTTAATTAAAAACAAAACTAAAAAAGAAATAATAGGAAGAAGTTTAGCAAGTTTAGTTAAAATGCTTTGTGTCCATAATAAACGGTGGAGGCTCGACTAGCTCTCCGTTTTTGATGAATGAAGATGGTTGAAAAAAGTTTTTATCGCCACGTTTTCGAGTTAAAATTTTAACTGCTAATGGAACAATATTATTGGATTGCAGTAAAGCGTCTTTTATATCTTCAACAGTAAATCCTTGCATTAGATCCCCATATACTGAACGTCGTTTAACAAGATTTTTGAATTTTTCTTCATCGACTTCATTGGCTCGAGGTATTTCTTTTATCAAATCATCAAAATTTTGAGCAGAATATTTTTCAGCTTTTTGTTTCCAATGTGAAGCAGCTTGAGTAACAGTAAAGATTTTTTTATATGCAATTCCTTCATTATATTCAATATCATCATTAGGATCATATTTGTTCAATGAAAATTCTGTAAGAAGATGACAATTACATAATTCTAAATAATATCCATCTGGATCATTAAAAAAATATTGATTAATACGTAGTTTTTTTTTAGATTTCGATTTATATGTATTAGCTTTTAATACACTTTGACGAACATCAATATTTAATTCACGTAATTTCTTAACAACTTTATCAACATGTAATGTTTCGAATGCTATATGTCCAACTTGAATATTATCCACAGGTGGTATAGTAGGTATACCTTTTATTAAATGAAGTTCAATATTACCCATGGTTAACCAAGCACCATGACGTTGGAATGACGGTCGACGAATTTGTTGAAATCCTAATATATCTACATAAAAACTAAGTGATCTACCAACATCTGACACAGTTATTGCTATATGATTCACTTTTATGATAAGATCACCTAAACCACGTCGTTCTTCTAGTGGATTCCAATGTAAAGATTCAGTATATTTTATTGTTGATATTATTGAATCTAAGTTGAGTTTTTTATTTCGACGTTGACACCATTCAAAAAATATCCATAATGATAAAAATCCAATAACAAAACCAAAAAGACCAGAAATAATATCAAATTTTATCAAATTTAAAATCATCAGAAGATCGTTCCTAAAAAAAACATCTTTTTTTTTAAAACAAACTCATGAAATTATGTTATTATGTCTACAAATATTTAGATAAAATTTAAGTCATAATTCAAAATTCTATTTATCAAACTTAGTGGTCTCTTTTACTGATCATTTACCTATTTATTCATTCTGAAATTTAAAATAATATGAATACAACAGAAAATAAAAGTAAATCTTTTATTTCTCAAAATAGTCGTCTCATAAATCTCTATCAAGAATCTTAAAATATTTTATATCGAATCATAGAAAAATCTTCATATTATATCAAAACTTAAACGATCCTATTGTATGAAAAGTGTACGTATGTGTTTTTTCTTCTCTTTGAAGTACGATTTCTGATCGAAAAAGATTATGTTTATTCAACAAAGCATTAAAAGCATATGTATATGGAAAGAAGACAGAGAATATCAAACGGATTTTTTTATATTTTTAAATAGGTTAGAGATAAAGAAAACTTTATCATAGGAATTTTGCTCGTAATTTCTTTTTCATTTCACTGAAACTATGTTTATCTATAAGAATAATCTTCACGATTGTTTATTCGATTAATACTAAAGCTAGAGTGCAAAAGGGAAACCAATTTTTATTTATAACTCGTGTGACAAAACAAAAATAATCACGTTAAATTAGGACTACAACTGTACTTTTTTCCTTTTTTTTAATCGTTCTGTTCTGTAAGCACTTCGCGTGCACTCCTTTTTGCCTTTTATATATTGCTATTCACATGGTATTGAATAGAGTCTTATACTTGATAACCTTTAAAGGAATAAGGAATATACGAATCATAGAACAATGAATTTCACATATATTGAAAAAAAAAAGAATCTTTTGTTATACACTTTTTAATGTACTGTATAAATTCGTTGGTTTAACAATAAAAAATGCATTTCAATACTGTTAAACGTACATTATAGTAAGAATTCGATTGAATACCACTATATGTGAAATGATCTTATATCTTCTCTTTATGATTCAATATGAAGATAATTTCGATTCAGTTGAAAATTCATCTGAAAAATGAATGATGTCTACAAGCATGAAAATGATTAGTATAATTGATGATAATGACTAATCAAACAACACATAATCTTTAGAAAACGATACATTTCATTCTATTCTTTGATTAAATAATACTAAGTTGATTCTATATTCTTTGAATAGATTTTAATAAAACTTCAATTTTTTTCTTTCACTTAAATTAACCAATAAATATTTTGTTGAGTCTTAATAGTAAGATGCTGACTAAAGAATAATTCATTGGCGAAACGACATTAGTCTTTCATCGTCACTTTTGAAAACTAAATTAAAGCTAAAAATTTGTTCGATTCAATGTTGAAATCAATTTAAATTGAAAACAAAAGAATGATGAACATGCAAATATTCTAGTAACGTTGTTTTCCAAGAATATTCTAACGAAATGGATATAATCAAATATCTTAAAACTACATATCTAATATTATTAAATTCTACTGAATTCAATCATGAATATTATTTATTTTACTAATCTAAGGAAGAATTTTGGAATTTTTTTCATGAGAAACTGAGTTCTCTTTTTTTTAATTTCGTTTTTATTTATCTCTAGACTTCATAGACAACTAAAAATAGTTATTATGTGAAATAAGACAAATTTGATAAGATTAAACAAAGAGTTGTTTTAATTTTAATGTCTTGATCAATATCCTATTTCGTCAAAAAACTCGAAATATTTTCTGCGTTGAAGCTAAAAATGATGATTCTGTGTGTCAAATCTCTGTTATAATTTAAAAATAGGTTGTCACCAGTCATTATTCGGTTATTGTTTAATAAATTCTAGATGTTTTTTTTTGAAAATAAAACAATCTTAACTCATTTTTTTGTTACTTAAACTCAAGCGTTATCTTCGGTATTCGCTAGTATGTTGACGCTCTGCAAGGTTTCGTCAGCGTTTTTTTTGTGAAAGTCAATCATTATTTTCAATATAAAAGTTTTTTTCAAACTAAAACTTATCTGTTTATTAAATTCGATTGAATCCAACTAATAGGTTCTAATAAATAACATGATCTTTTACTAGAAACTTGTGTCTAATCAATGAAAATCTCAGATATTCATGTATATTAATTGATCACTAGCGTTGAATAAACTGATTGATAATTTCTTGTAATAGATAAATTATTGAAAATATATTACTTCTTTAACTATTTCTAATGCTAAAACTCGAACAAGTAACTTATATTAATTTATCAGTTTTGAATAATGTCTCATCATTGAACGATGTATTTTAAACATGTTTAGAGAATTTTAATGATTCATTGTCAAAAGAATTCAAATCGATTCATTACAACCAGATAGACAAAAGTTAATCAATAAAATTATTTTTCAAAGATCTATAATTCAATGTCATTAATTGAAAAATATTCTTAGAATAAATAATCATTTCGTATTATTCTTTTTTTATTCATTGTTTAATAAATTATTATTCTAAAATAAATATCAAATAAAATATATAAATCTTGTATAAAAAGAAAAGCATATGAACGTTCAATTGATATTTATAGAATAATATCAATAGTTACATTAAAACTTCTAGTTTTAGTCAGTCTTAATCATATTTGAAAGGTTTTCAAGCATATGTTGGTATTTACATTGACAGACAAATGTCTCAATTCCATCGTCATTACAAACTTGACTATAAAGTACATTGCTTAGTTATTGACTTTTTCTCACATTTGAACTCTATTGAAAAATATATATAAGCATAATAATGTTTCAAAGCAGATTAAGAAATGAAACCTTTTTATTAATATGAGTTTCTTTAATTCCAATCAAGAATCAATCAAGCATGAATATTTCGTCAGCTATAACCTGGTTGAACTATTTCATCCTATTCATCTTGATATCATATTAATCCGTACAAAATCATCTTTCGTTTCTTAAATTTAAATTAATGATTTAGTTGAGACAAACATGAACAAGATCAACATTGTTAGAAATGAGTTTTATTTTTTGAAATAAAAGATATAATCGCTAAACAAAACATATCTAAGAACACAATACTCATTTGTTGAATATGTTCGCATATTCAACACAGAAGTGATTCATATTTCAGTAACTTGTCACAAAATGTATTCATCAGTTTATGCCAGACGAGAGAAGGTGTCCAAGTGATACGCGCTGTTTTGAATATCATATACTAAAGTTTGTAGAGTACGATGAGATTCGAATAATCTAAAAACGATTCATCTGCAGATACTGTTCTTATCAAGCTATGAACACTTTACTGATCTTTTTGCTGCTAGTATAAACTGTATATCAAAAAATAAAATTGCAGAGGTTTCATTTGAAATTTAGTCTATAGATTAATGTTATCGTCAATAGAAAGATCTCAAAATTTCAACTTCAAGAAATGATTTGATTTTAACATGTCGAATCTTAAAAATATTTGATTTTCTAGCTATTAATTGTTTTCGACTAAAATTTTGAGTTTTCTATGGACTAAGTTTCAGTTTGAAATATCACAATTTCATTTTTTCATATGCACCGTGACAAACGTAAAAAAATCTAGTAAAAAGGTCATTATTCATCAAGAACAGTGTATGAAGATAAACTATTTTAGTTTCTTCTAATCCTATTGAGCTTTACAAAATATTATATATGAAATTGAAAACGGCATGTAAAACGTGGAGATATAGCTTCATTAGCATAATTCGATGTTTAATATTGTTCATTTATTAGTTGAAAAACGTCGTTGACTTGTTCAAAGCCAACTTGCAAAATAAAATTGGTTTGTTTGCCATAACTTTTGTTACCAACGATGAAAAAATTTTTTTCTGTTGTTAACATACTATTGCGACCGTGACTTGTTTGCTTCAAACAGTCAGCATTACTAGAAGATAATAATTTGACTGCGAGTGCTAGTGGACCTTTACTACGATAACATTCTTGTACATTCAGATTAGCATAAAGATTACGATCAGGTTGTGATCCAGTATTGGCAATGATATAATCGATATTACATAGAACTTTAGGAGGAGAACTATCAAGTGTTATGTCAACCTTTGTGGAGGATGTTGAGTAAGTTAATTTAGTCACTACAGTATTAACATAAATATCAGTAAAAATACGTTTATCAGCATATATTTGATTGATGTTGTCAGTTAGTTGACGTCTTTGTTCTAGTGGATCTTCAGGATTTTTACAGTAAGGTAAATCATTGATTGATTGTTTGATAATCCAATATAATTGTGTTTCTGGATAAGCTTCTTTGACTTTGGCTATAAAAGAAAAATTATTATGTAGAATTAAAATCGAGCCATTCTTTTGTTTAACTAGTCAATTAAGTAGATTCAAAGAAACAAACAACTTTTAAACAGCATAAAATTTGATAAATAAAAATTTAAGACAAGTTCTCAATGTTTAATATACTAAAATCTAATAGTTAGATTATCAGATTTAAATAAAAATTGCATAATATCATAATCATACATTTACCTAAATAGAGAGCCGATGTGGCTGCACTGTAACCTTTTCCAATAAGAACAATTCGTTTACCGGCAAGTTGTTCATATTTAAAATTCGGTATTAGATAAGTCATGGGTGATGGTATTTGAATTCGTAATGCTCGTTCATTAATGGCTGGTACATTATTAGGACCAACAAAATTTGGATTATTATATGTACCACTTGCATCAATAACACAATCGACAATAAAATATTCTTCACAGCCACTATCTTTATTTTCTACAAGAATAATAAATCTATTAGTATGATAACGACCAATTGAAATAACTTGATGTCGTAAACGAATATTCGGCTGTAAGTGATAGCTAACAGGACGTAGATAACATTCTATATATTGACTACCTGTTAAGAATGCATTATTGTCATGATCTTTTTTTAGAAGATCTTTTCCTAATAGTGACACATTCATGTGTAACGGTGTAAATAATTGAACATGTGACCATAAACGTATATTATTTGCAATATCATCACCTGATTCAAAAATGATAAATTGATAACCATGTTTGAGTGCATGTAAACCACATTCCAATCCAATTGGACCACTACCAATAATACCAATGAAGAAACTCTGCTTGTCAAATGTCATATTATAAATTCTAAAATACCAATCAATTATAATTTTCCATTAAAAAATACCAATGAAACTATTTAAAGATATATGTATACTTTCAATTAACGTTCATCATGACTTGCGTCTAGTAGGTTTTTAATAAGAACTATAACAATAATAATAATAGTCACTGTACTGATAATAACATCGCATCTATTACTTACATCTTTACTTATGCTTTTGTTTTTATGCTTTCTCTATGGTCTGTTCTATGCACAATTCTCTCTCTTCTATATGAGCTTGTATTATATGTGAAGTCATAAACACATTCTCGAGATACAACGCAGCTCAATAAACATCGTTAGCAAGGATAACGGTAAGCTATTCCTTCAGTTTGTTGCTACTGACATGGTTAAAAACTGATTCAACAAAAAACTTCCATTTTATACAATAACATTAATAAGACTTAGATTCGAACTTCTTCGTTCTACATACTTTTATTTTCTCTGACTCAATGCTGATGTGGAAAACCAACTAATACTATTGTATTTCTTCGATTTTTTTTCTTTCATATACTACTCGAGATACTGCTTTCCTGTATTGTTATTATATCCGTTGATAGTTTTTCCTCTGTTCTGCTGTAAAAGAACGAAGAAATAATTTTCTGCTGACAACTAATACATAACCACTGTAGAAGAAAATACAGACGAGTATTGCCTATTCTGGGTACATTGATACATGCATAAAACAGTAATAAAAGAACGATGAGAAAAAAGCGTTCTTATAACGTGTCACAGTAACATCAGATAAATAATGCAAAAACATGTTTCTCATTCAACAACAAATAATACTGCAATTTTTTGAAAGATTTTTATCTTAGTCATTCAGAGTGCTTTTGTTGTAAGAACTAAATGATATCGGTTTTAAAATGCTATTATTGTGCTACTTTATTTTTAATTGAAAAGTTTCAACTGATTAAAAACAAATATAGTGTGATAATATTACATATCGTATTCATTTTTTGTCGATTTGATTAACCAAAATAAATGAAACAAAATACAAGAAGTAAATTAGAAACTTTGACTGTAAAAATAACTTCTACTTGTTCTCTATATCGCTCATTTATTCGGAAACCATTAACCCTGTTGAATGAAACAAAGTAATAAAAAAAAACGATTTTTAAAATGAGTGATGACATCAATTCGTAAAGCAGCTTGCCATCGAGTTAATCAATATTACTTAATTACATAGAACAAACAATGGAACGAAAAATGGACAATATTTTTTTTTTGAGTTATTTTTTTTTTTATAGAACAGACATATGCTTTGATTTTTGTGAAATGACTAATAAGTGGTTGAAAGTATTGACAGGATATTGTGGATTTTCCAGGTCATTTAACTCTTTGATTTCATCTGAAATTTAGTAAGAATCAGTGGCAAAAACTGAAAATGACTTCCTACATAGTATTTCAAGTATTTTAACATGTTTATAACCATATTTACATGAAACGTTCAGTATGTCATAGTATTAACTCTTCTCTTATCAAAATTGATGTTAGCGAAGCATCTCACCTAAATGAACTATGTTAATAATATTAATTGTGCTAAATATTTCAAAATTCTACGATGATTATTAAATAATGTTTGCACATAAAACACACTTGAGTAAAAGTTCGATTAAAAGCCTAGTATTTATCTAGTAATAGTTCTGACGATCCGTTATGTCTAATCCATATGTCACGATGTTTTCCTAATTAGATTTTTTTTGACCTTTGCCAGTCATGATCATCTGTCCTGCAAACGAACTAGATGATCATCATGAAAAAACAATGCGTTCATCACTATGAATATGTCGATCGAAACAAAACTATGTTACTTTTTTGACATTAGAACTAGCCATGTTACAGATCTTTTTCGAGACACTGACTAGACAAGTCACAATTTTCTGATGTCCATTGTATAGCACATTTTAAGTTTAATAAATACAAAGATTGGCAACGATACATACGATAGATTGTAGTGTTAAATACTAATCACACCAAGGATAGTCTCGATGAAACCAAATTAAGAGAAGATGAGATTTGAGCGTACATAAAATATATCATCTTACTTCGTCGTTCAGACATTTGAAGTATATGATTAACTGAGAAATTTTGATATATTCATTAAACATTTTTAGACCGTATTTAGTAGAATTTCACTTAGAGTTTTATATTTTGCTATGAATAAACAAATTTGTATCACGGAAGATAAAGTTAGTTGTATAAGGCTGAACAAAAGAAATTCATAATAGGTTTTATCGAGTTTGGGAGGCATATCTTCTGCTCATTATGAATTTGGAATGATCAATTCATACATAAAAATACTTTAATGAATGCAACAACGAGATAAAATTTATTTGAATTCAAAAGACATTAATTTCATAAAATGATTACTCTATATCATTTTTAATTTAAATTGCCCAATTCGAAATTCTTGTATAATTGAAATTGATTCCTTACTAAACTTAAATAAGCAGAATGAGGATATCAAAATGTTTTAATCCTTTTTAATCTTCTTTTCACATCTCATGAATTTTGTCATAGACAAAGTAGCACCTCTCGTCTCAGAAAATACAACAACAGTATTTCTCGATAAACACCTGCGTAACTACGTGTTTTGTTCATTGTAATGGTTTTGGTAATGAAAACGTTTTGGTTTAAGTACGGCCACTATTGTTGGTTCTCCAGAAACTTTATTAAGGTAACTCTATGGCCGAAAGCATTTACATTTAATCGTTTAATCGTGATCCCAACAAAACGAACGGTTAGCTGAGTTTTTTTTTTACAAAAATTGAAAAATAACACAAAAAAGTTTATTTGTGTTCGAATTAAGTTACGGTCACAGTTGCATGCCATTTACATTCTTGATGACTTCGCAGCTCTCTACTCCTTGAAGAAGTATACTATATAGCCTTGCCATTTATGGACTAGAAAGATATTGCAAAGATGTACACACAATTATAATAAGAAATATTAAAATACGAGTCACTAAATATTTTATCAGCCCTCGATTTCATCATTGACTTGCGAAGACTCTTCTTGTGGTCACTCATAGGAAAAAACAGGAGTGTAGTCTTAGAAAGAGGGGTTTGCTACCCACACTGATAGAAAAAATCCAATTTTTTGCAAGCAAAATCGTATTTTTTTCTTAAGAAAAAGATAGCATAGTGAAAACAGAAAGTTTAGCATCTTCCACTTTTAAAAAATTATCTGAACCTTTGCGAGTCTCAAAAAATTTTCCTGCACTGCTCCTTCCTCCTCCTCTCTACTATTTTCGTTTCGCTAATACATCCTTGTCTTCATTAATTGACAATGTAATTAAAGAATGTTAATTTATCATTGTAAGTTCAAGTGGCTACGATATGATTACAGATAAGATTATTCGCACTGTTTCTTCCAAATTAATCTTACTTGATGTTGATTTCTCAAGAAGAATTTCATGATTATATTTTTGATGAAACTAATTTGATGGCATTCTTTTAACAAGTATTTCGTTAGATGGAAGGAATATTTATGATGGTATTGTCTTAGGTGAACAATTTAGTCAAGCACCATCATTAACTAGTGTCACTTTTCCTCACAATATTTCTCATCGTTAGCTGTTCATGATTGAAATTCTGGACATCAAAAAAGTTTTTAGTGTCATAACTATTGAGAGGTTCACCTAAGATTTCGTATTTTACATCTTTTATATATAGACGAATACTTCAATTGAAAATGGAACTTTTAAGAAATTGACAAATGAATATCGACAATATTTTGCGTTGAAATTCAACACGTAAATGAATTTGGTTTTTCCAAGAAGCACAAATATTACGTTATGTTGTGTAAGAAAATGAATATGGTCAAAAGACAACAATGAAAACAAGTACAAAACAATGTTTTTCTCAGAAATTTCTAATAGGGGAATTATGCTGTTGTGACGCATATAGAAAAACTATTGAATACTAATCTTTTGCCTGATTCTTTAATTATTCTATTTAGAAACAAAAAACAGATTTTATTTAGTTTTTTTTGTACAATATTGGATTAAGATTGTCATCATTGAAAACAGATACACCTATTCTTAATTCATCCATCTGTTTCTTTGTTAAAATATTCTGTTTACCATTAAAAATCATATTATCCGGCATCCTAAATAAATAAATAGCATTACAAAACAATAAGTGTATTAATTTTTTTTTCCACAAAATTTGCTTACATCTGAATCGCCATTGCAGCTTTTCTTTCTGATGTCATATTGGCACTGGCACCATGAATTAAAAGACCACTATGAAATGAAGCACTTCCTGCCTTCATAGGTACAGCCACTGTTGGCCATTGCTTTAGCTCGGAATAAGTATTAAATATATCAGAAAGATTTTTACCAATCTTTATTTCCGGAAAAGTATTATTTGCTGCATAATAATGACGTTCGGTAACCTAAAAAGATCTAGTTGAAAGATCGTCATGAACTAATACAAGTTTGACCATGAAAATAGAATTCTAACTCTTAGAAGAAAGAATCTTTTTTCAAGATTGAACCTTATTTTATTTCTAGGAAACACTTGACTTGAACAAAATCGAAGGAAAACAAGAGATAAAAAGAAGCGTTATTGAATTCTTGTATCTATAGATCAGATTTTTGATGATTTTCCACAAAGTACATAATCAATTAATGAAATTCAGAATATTTTTCATTTGTAAAATAGTCTTACTTTATGTGATCCAGGCATAAAATACATGCAACCATTTTCCAATGTTGCATCGTCTAATGCTACCCAGACACTTATTGCATGTAAAGAAGTGAACGACCAATATGGAACATCAAGATGCCTTCGTAAAAAGAAAAGAGATGAATATAAAAGAAAATGAAACACATCCCAATTCTACCAGGCCGTAGGATTTGCAAATGGTTCTTTAATTAAGGCTTGATCATGCCAAATTCTAACACAATCAATATCTTCTAATTCAGCAGCAATTTTTCCAATAACTTCTCCACTTTCTAATAAAAGT